AAAACAACCCTCAATCATTTGCAGAAAAGGATTATTCAGCTGTTTGTTTATTAAACAATGTAAGGATTGAAGACATTTCTACCACAGGATCCAGTCCAAGTTTTACCCATTTTGATAGCCCTGGATCAAGTCTATGGCAAATATCCAATATAAATGCAATCTTACAAATGTCCACATAAATTCAGCTCTACAAACATGTAAAGATACTTCACTATTATTATTTTGATTGTCTATGCACATAAACCTTTCAATTCCCAGCCACTAAGGTAGGCAAAAAGGACACAGGATTAGCTCCAGAGTACACTGCAGATCAGGTCAGTCAGCTCCTACAGGATGACCAGGCTGGGCTTCTCACCAGCACAGCTGGAAGCAGGCAGCAGAGTTAATGAGGTGGCAGCAGCAACAGGCATAAGAGCAGAAAGCAGAGATGTGAGAAATGAGGTAACAATGAAAGCTACAAGACTCACATCCAAAGTAGTCAGGAAGTCTCCCATTGCCCACTACCTCAGCTAGGAAATACTGCTTTTTGAACCTCCACAGGAAGCTGGAAAACTGTGTTTGAAGCATCAAATGCAAACTGCCTGTCTGCTCTACCTGCCGGGCCTTTCCCTCAAACCTTACATTATTCATCAACTTCTCTGCCACTCCAGTGAGATTTCTAACTTCTAAGAATCTTTAGCCAGTGACAGGCATTACCAGATTTCCAACCAGGTACATTTGTGTTCTTTCAAACTGTTCCTTCAATTAGGATCACAGCCACAAGATAAACCTTCAAGAGACTGTCATTTTTGTTTTTCAGATTATCACTGAAAATTATTTTTATAATTACATCTACACAACTCATGCAAATCTTTACAATAGTTTAGCAGCACACCCAATACTGGCATGTGACGTTATTGTTTCCCAGTACTCTCTCAGTTATCTTGTGGTTTGAGGGTTTTTGGTGAGTCTTTGCCAGTGCTCTGCTGCAGGCTTCATCTTTTGTGGTAGGTATTGTGGAAACTTCAAACAATTGATTCTGGTTCATACCCAAGGCTCTGAGGTAATATTATAATTAAAATTAATGAGAAAGGGATGCAGTTCCAGCTATGGATTGATTCTGTGGTCTTTGTTTCACAAAGGAGGACCCCAAGAGTAAAAACTGTAAGTAATACTCTGTGTTTCAAATGTATCCTGCTCATACTCATCTACTGCTGTTCTTATTACCCTCTTCAGTGGTAGTTTCTTGGGGAAAGAAACATCAGTGCACCTCCATTTGCAGCTTTCAGGATAATACACTTCTGGAAATTCAGTGGAATTCAGTCTTTTCCTTAGACTTTGTTTTCAGCTACAGAGTTCAGCCTTAAAAGCAGCTTCTAGATTCTATTGTTTTTCCATGCTCTGATTACTTGCTATACCTAAAGAGTGAAGTCATTTTACATTCTGAAACCATTTTGTAAAGGTAAGAGCCCTGAACATCAGGTCTAACAAAAAGAAGCTAACCTAAATCCATTTTAATCCTAATGTTTATCTTAATGTTTAAATCTTAAATCCACATTCTTCACCTCATCTAAGGCGAGAGAAGCTGCAGAGCATGCAAAACTTTTTACAACAGTAGCTATCCCTTGTAATCAAAGTCCAGCAAAGCTCAAACACCTCAAGTCTTTAAAAAAACAAACCCTCCTCCCCTCCCCCACATACACACACACACACAAAAAAAAAAAGACTTTGGAGAGTCATTAGTTTAAAGTAAAAGTTGGATCTGTCCATGCACCTCAGAATAACATACAGCACTAGTATATTCTCATACTGGTTCAGAGTTGCATGCAGGATAGATAAATACTACTGAAGCAGTACAGCTCCTTTACACAGTCTTGGCTCCTTTGGGATCATCCTTCATGCAGTTCTATAGATTTAGCTCCAGGATGAAAGGCAGTGGCTGCTGACTTGTTTTCCCTAGGAGCTTCTCTTTGTTCACCCTCCCATAGGTAGGTAAAGGTAAAAGTAGAGTATCTGTCTCACAGGCAGAAATGTCAATCTCCAAATCAAGGCTTTACATATTTACCCTACAATGCTAACAGCAACTCAGTACCCACTAAAATAAACTAAGAAATAAAGACCAGTATTTAAATTCCTAACACTCTCATGAAATTAATTCATATAGTAAGGGAATAGCCTCATCATGAAGAAAGTAACACATTGTACTTGAACAGATTGAGCACAAATTTCATTTGACAAGAGGAAGAAAAAATTAAGCAATTTTCCAGCTATTTAAACACAAAGCACAGCTTCAAGCTAATTAATGCTTTACCAGCCTAGCCAAACTCTAATAAATTTGTACGGTAGATTGGAAGTAGCTTCCATAAAAACCACCACCAAGCTAATATGTGAACCTGTGCTGTAAAGTATAGCTTTATGAGGGAATCAGAACAAAATAAACCATCTTACACTTCTATACAAACAGACAAGAAGCTCTATTTCAGATGGAATACAGATACAGCTCATCACTCACATGCAAAAATTAACTTCTGTAAATTCCAGTGTCAACAGCACAATAAGACACTCCAACATGAACTGTACAAAGGAAGAGAGGATGTATTCATTGCAAAAGTAAGGAATTAAGTCCCACGGAACAAAGGAATACCAAAGCCCTTCTTTAAAATGAAACTTAACTGGTAGCATTATTCATTTTGACTGATTTATAAGTCAGAGTATTATTCTCTAGGATGCTAAAATAAACCAATTTTATAGGCTCATAAAATCATAGAATGGTTTGGGTTGGAAGGGGCCTCAAAGATCATCCAGTTCCAACACCCCCCGCCACACACAGAGTTGCCAACCACTAAATCAGGCACTAGATCAGGTTGCCCGGGTCCCCATCCAACCTGGCCTTGAACACCTTCAGGGACGGGGCACACACAGGTTCACTGGGCAGCCTGTGCCAGTAACTCACCACTCTCTTCAGTGAAAAATTTCCCACTAACATATAATCTATATCTTTCCTGTTTTAGTCTAAAACCATTCGTCCTTGTCCTATCACAATCAGATCATGTAAAAACAAACAAACGATCTTTTCCTGCTTATAAGCTCCCTTCAAGCACTGGAGGGTCACAATGAGGTCTCCCCAGAGTCTTCTCCTTTCCAGGCTGAACAAGCCCAGCTCCCTCAGCCTGTCTTCATAGCGGAGGTACTCCATCCCTCTGATCATCTTTGTGGCCCTCCACCAGACCCTCTCCAAAAGCACCACATCTTTCTTGTGCCAGCAGGCCTTGACCTGGATACACAGTACTCCAGATGGAGCCTCAAAAAGGCAGAGTAGAGAGGGACAATCATCTTCTTCACTCTGCTGGCCTCCCTTCTTTTGATGCAGCCCAGGATAACTCTTGGACTTCCAGGCTGCAAGCATGCACTGCTAGTTCACATTGAGTTTTTCATCTACCAGGACCCCTAAGTCCTTCTTGGCAGAGCTGCTCTCAATGACGTGCTGAATTTATTTTGCAATTAAATTCTTTCTTTCGAAACAGCTGGTTATGACTGGCACCAGAGGCTGTGCAAATCCACATTAACATCAATGATACTTGCTTCTTGATGAGCAAATGAATCAAATAAGCACAATATACAAATACTATTTTTAAACAGACGTTGATTAACATCAGTCTTTCCTTCCAGCAATTGATTTTCTCCACCAATTAGATACCACCCTCACAAATATATTTCTAACTCCGGCCTGAAATTCATAGCATGGGTCTTAAGACCGGTTTCCTTTCAAATTTTGCTAAAACTGTGGTCCTAAACTCAAAAAACTCTTACTCACATAGGCAATCCCATATTCCAGCTTTCCCTTTGATCATCTTCATGTTGTTCTCTACTCTGCTTTTTAGGAAGGGAGGATTATCAAGTATACTCTCATATCAAAACTTCTGCTTAAGAAGCTTTCCTCTGCTATGATATCCAAAGGATGCAACCAAACAGTAATTGAACACTACTCAGAAGATCTGCTCCTTTGATGGCAACCTTACTCAGCATTACCCCTTTCTTCTTCCCTTCACAAGTCTGTGTCCTTCTAATCCTTTCATTATATCCTGACACTGCAAATTCTTTCATTCTATGCTAAAGATGAAAATAGTGAAGAAATTACAAACTCTGTTACAACTCTAAATTGGCTCCCCAGCAGCTGTGTGTCCATGCACTAGCTTAAAAGTTTGCCCAAGGCACCCTGAGGCCAAGGCAACATGGAAGCAACAAGAAAACCACAGTTATTTGGCCTTTATTTGCTTTGAACACAGCAAGAATCTGCACTTTTGACTTTACTGATAAAAACACCAGCTCCATTATGCCTACATACTAGTTAAATGCTTCCAGGCCTTCCACATTTTCATGTTTTATACTAAAAGCTACTGTCTACAAACATGAAAAAAAAAAACCCACTGCAAGCCAGAAGGACTTAAGACACAGTGGATCAGGAAAGAAAACAAAAAACAAAAAAAGAACTTTTTCCTCCTGTCCTGTTTCACTCTATTTAAATCATCCACACCTGCTAAACCATAGCTACAACATTAGTCTCAGAAAGGCTGTCCACACTGTGACTGAAGGGAACTTTATTTACCGCATATTTATTTGTAGAGAAATGTTAGAGAGTTGACTTTACTGTAAAGGTGAAAATATCCACTGACAAAACTTACAGAAGTGGGCACCATGGACCTTGTTGTGTATAGCTAAATTCTCATAGCTATTTTTCAACATGCAAGTTCAGAAGAAGGAGCAGATGTGGCTTTCAAGATCTATGGCTATGAACACCAGGCTAAAAAAAGGGAAAGCTTTCACACTTCCAACAAGAGGGAAATAAGTAGCAAAGCAAGTATATTTCAAGGCACAATGTAAGAAATCCACAGTCCTAGTTACAAAACTGAAGATCCTTTCTCCATTAGATCCCTTCTCCATTACCTGCTTGGAGAAGACTTAATAGATAAGACACACACTGACTCAAGCAAAACTTTACAATTCCAATTCTTGTCGCTTACCTTCTACTAGCTGGTCCAAGGAGGAAATCTTTTTGGAGCCATCAATTGTGTAGATTGTTCTCACTCCCTGGGGCAGATTCACATTGTCAGACAGAGTTCGGGTCAGATCAGCCAGCAGAGCTTCAAAAGATCTAAACCGGTCAGGGGAGATGGCATATACAATCCCTTTGAAATACCGGTCTCCATTACGATAGAAACGAACTTTCTTGGCTTTCTTCTCAGAACTCAGGGTCTGTAGAGTACGGGTTCGATAAAAGCTGCAGTGGGCACTGTGGGTAGGGCTGGGCAAACCATTTACCCGGGACCCTCGGCCATACCGCTGCGCTTTATCACGCTCATCAAAATGCTCCAGCTCCATATCTCTCCCAAATGACATCTTGAAGTTCAATCTAAGGGATATACAAGTAAAGAGGTTGAACAACTTACACATCTTATGGGAGCTCACCTTCATACATCATGTTATATACAAGACAGATACAGATGACTACTTTCCAGACTAAGAAAAATGCTTGAATGAAGCCATGCTACGTTCACATGTTCATTTTACAGTCCTCCTGACATGCCATAAAAACTGGTTTATAAGTTAGGCTTTTATATGCCACAGAAATACCACTCCGGTAACCAATTGCTAGGCGTACACAAACATTAAAGTTTATTCAGTAAGAGCTCTGAAAATGAGGTGACAAAGTGGAGCTACTGGAAAAGAACAAATGGGTCAGCTTTCTACCTTTTCTTCATCTTATATTCAGGTGATACTTGAGTCCACTCTACCTTCTAGACCATTCGACCCCACTATATTGTTTGTTCCACCCATGATCTCAAAAGGTGTCACTTCAAAACACAGTAATTGCCCAGTGCTTGGCAACAAGTAAGAGCTTCTCAGAGGAACAGACATTGGAGGTTGGTGATTAGAATCAGAACTGTCAATACTAGTAATGTGACTTGGTGGGTCAAGCCCACTGTTAAAATGTTTTTGCTCATTCCAACCATTTATTTCAGTGGTCTTTGTGCAAACATTTTGCATACTCCGAATCAACAGAAGTGCTCAAACATCATGAAATAAAGAAAAAATAACAATAATAAAAGAAAGGAGGAGTCACCAAGCTAGTATTATTCAAGGGACAAGCTGCTTCTGTGCTTAACAATACTTCTTGAAAATTTTGTGTAAGTCCTAGCACTAGCATTCAAGTTGCTGGCTGGCAACAGCTTCTCTTGCCAAGAAGACTATCACTGGAGTGATAAATTCAGTGTTGATGAGCAAACTAGCAATTAGCATCACCCATGCTTGACAGCAGCAAAGAGCTCTCTGTTCTGGCCAAAATGGGCCCAACTGTTCAATATAAGTTCACATAAAGGGAAGTTCACTCTTTCAGAAGTGAAATCAAGGAGGCATTTACCTGCTTTTTTATGAGTGACACAAGACTAAATACTACAGATTGCACATGAACCTTCATAAATAATTTTTAAGTATGAACAAATTTAGAACAACCAAAAGATTATCAGGTTAGAAACACTTTTATTTGAGTCACCTAAATTTGCCAGTTCCCTGCAGAACAGCAAAGCACACTAAGTTTATTTATAGTGCAGATACACAGACCTAATTCAGAAGTGGTCTCTCTCATTGATTTCCAGTAAAAAGAAAAGAAAGGAAAAAAAAAACAACCTGCAAGCCCAAGCTTCGTTTAAACCACTCATAATTCTATGTCCTTTAAAAAAAGAAAAACCCAGACCTGCTGCAAAGTAGTAGCAGCAAACAGTAAGAGAAAATACAGAAAGAATTACAGATGCTCTAAGCTTACACAAGCTTGCACTAAACAGGGATTATAGAGCTGGACTTTGTTGCTGCAAAACTATAGGGAATGTGCTCCACAACTTCTCTGAGCTGTTCACGTGCTTGACCAGAGCCAGCACCTAAAGCAACCACTGTGAGCATAGGGTCTTGAAAATTACTTAGCCAAGCTGGGGACAGCTTGCTACTTACTCTGCTATGTACACACTGCATCATGTGCTCATGTATAAGGGCAAGATTTATACCTGCAACACTTTCAAAGCTACCAATAGCACACGTGTGTATATATACACATACACACACAATATGTATGCATGCATATACATAAAATGTGCATGTATATAGGCACAAGAAAATTTACTGTGTGTGGTGTTTGTGCATATATATATACATACATGTACATATATGTACAAACACAAAACCATACAGTTATAAATATGAATATATATATAGGCAGGAAAATAATTCCCCTCATCAGTACATATGCACCACTCCAACTCACAGGACAAGGAATTCACCATGGCATTTCACTGACAGTTCCCCGAGTTAAATACTAAATATGATTTAATGGCCACAGCTTAGGATTGAGACTACATGCCATGATGTTTCTAAGTTGTTTTACTCCATTTTTAATGGCAGCAAGAAGCTGTTAGTCGTACACGATCTCAGAACTCACAATTCAAAACCTGTATCTGGGAAGCAACGGCAATGATGGGAGAAACGGATTTTCCTTAGGGCTGCCGTTTCATTTGCTCAATTCACCTCGCACACGCACAAAATAGAAGGAAAAATAAGTTACACCAAGATACAGTTTTTTAAAAAGACTCTCAGCTCAAATAATTAGGGAGTATGGGGGAGAGAAGTGTGAGCCGCTGCCCTTCCTTCCGCACGCTTTAATCGATAATGGCTGTAATTCCCAATTACGTCCTTCAGAACAGAAATCGAGCTCCTGGAACGACTCGGCGCCGCTAATTACGGCAAAGCGTGTGCAAGCCACAAGGTCGGAGCAGACAAAGAAATTCTAAATAATCGGCTCCGATGTCTCAGCGCTGTGCACGGACGGATATACGGGAACAGAGGGACACACCCGAGCACAGCGCCGTGCCCGGCACTCACAGCACCGAGCCGAAGCAGCACCCAATGCAGGTGTGGCGCTTCCAGCCGTGGTGCCACACGCAGGCACGCGGCGCAACGCACACCACGCTCCGATCCGACCGACCGCGGACCCGCCAGCCGTCACCTCGAGGATGAGGAGAGACCGAGCGCAAAAAGGAGCGCACGTACAGACAGATACACACGGACACGAGCGGTAGCAGCTTAACAAACACAGATGCCCCGCAGCGCTGGAGAAAAACGCGTGTGAAACGCGCTGAGGAAACCTCGTGAGAGGCACGGAACACCCAGCCCTGCCGCAACGTCAGCCCCCGCTGACAGAAGCGCCGCCGGCCGCGCTGCCCCGGCGCCGGGCAGCACCTGACGCGCTCCCCAGCGCCGCTGCCCGCGATGCCGCCCGAGCGCCGCGCCGCAACGAGCGGAGGCCGCCGCCCCACACAATGGGCACAGGTGCACCGCGCCGCGGCGGGCGCCCGACCGACGGCCGCGCCCCAAACGGCCGCCCCGCCGCAGCCCCCGGCCCTTACCTGCTGTCCGCAGCCCGGCGAGAGCTTCTCTCCCTCGGAGCTGCCGGCGGGGCGAGCCGGGAAGGCGGCGGCGGCGGCCCGAGCTGGGAAGCGGCTGAGGAGCGGCAGCTCCCTCCCTGCCCCCCCCGGCGACCACCCGGCTGCGATCGCAGGAGCTGCCGCAGAAAGCGGCTCGGATGCCTTTGTTACGCCTCCCCCGGCTGCAGAGCGCTGCTGGGGAGCCCGAGCTGCAGCTGCTTCGCCTTTCTGCCGCCGCTGCCGATTGCAGTGATTTGCATTAGCCCGGCCCTCATTGAAATGCGGCTCTTCACACCAGCCTCTCCCGGCGCTCTCTCCAGAGGGCGGCACCGCCGTCCTCTCCCCCTCTCTCTCACTCCCTCCCTTCCCCGGGCGCTGCGGGGCCGGCCGGGCCTCGCTGAGGCGCTCGCTTACGCGCCCGCCCTGAGGAGGTTTGTGCCCACCGCCTCCCTCGCCCCCGGGGAATTCGAGGGGTGAGAGCCGTGTCCCCTCATGGGCATCTCCAAAAGGGTTGCCAGATCCCGAAGTGCTGAGAGCCCACGCAGTCACTGGAGCCCTGTAACCAGGACCTGTGTGCTCCAGGGCGGGTCGGTGTGGAATTTAGGCGCTAACTTTGGAGCTTGGCTTCCTCACACTACTTGCGGCTTTGCTGGCTGATCCCAGAGGTGAAGCACCTCCACAGATCCTACGGTTCTTATGTTTAAGTTTCCCAGAGGATGTTTTTGCCCAAAGGTGTCTTAGACTTCATCTGACTGACTGTCCTGTTATGCCTGATCCCCTCTGGTCTTGTACCACATATGCAAAATCAACTCCCAAAAAATGCAGTTATAATTGATGCTTTCCCCACAAAGACTTGGGTATTCTTGATGTTCATATAGAATAGTCTTACAGAATATCCTGAGCTGAAAGGGACCCACAAGGCTCATGGTGTCCAATACCCGACTCCACAATTTTTAGGGCTACCTAAAAATTAAGCTGTATTTCTGACAGTGCTGTCCAGACTCCTTGAACTCTGTCAGCATGGGGCCATGGCCATTGCCCTGTGGAGCCTGTTCCTTGCCCACCACTCTCTGGTGGTGTTTCCTAACATCCAGCCTGACCCTCCCAGGTCCCATTCTCAAGGTGAAGGGCCTGGTTTGCTTTCCTCTATGCAATTTAACTCTCTTTTGCTTGCCAGGTGAACAACACAGTCCAGGGGGACGTGAAAGGAAACAAAACACTGTCTGTCCCTTCTGTTCAAGCTGCTCCACTTTGCACTCTGAAAGAATTAAAAATGCATTAGACCAGAGAGGGGGAATTAGTCTGCAACCTAGTGGTTGTGGCACTCGGTTGGGAAGGACAAAAGATGGCTTTGTGTGCCTGTATAGGAGACCTTTGCTGTGTCTTATATCCACAAATCCAGAAAAAATCAGTGGATGGGGACTTCAGCCCAGGGTGCCCTGCTCCTATTTAAGGTCTTTGATCACAACAGAGGATCCCACTTCACTTTTCTCTTCGGGTCACCACCACCTTCAGCCTATAAAAAGCTGTAAAGTCTCAAAAGAAGCAGCCAATGGAGCATTCCTCTTCTTCCAAGTTCCCCTAGAACAATAGTCAGGCTCTTGGGAGACCTGAGATTTCCTGATGGAGAAAAACTCATTGGTGCTCTGTCTTCAACATCTTGGGGGAGTTCTTTAATAACAAAAATAAAGCAGAGAACAGAAGGAGCAGTGTTCTGGCTACACTTCCAGTTCCCTTAGTTTTTGAAAGATAGATGAGTACCTGAAACTCTCAGAAACACCTTTGCTTGAAGAAGTATGAGCAACAAAATTCCTGCACACCAAAGCAATTCAGAAGTGATTGTACAACTCTGCCCTCAGCACTCTTCAACTACCTTGCTTTGTTTTTGTGCATCCTGGCACTTGATCCTCCCCACACAGCCCATAGGGCACTATGACACTTAACTAAGGACTGTCATTTTTCAGATGCAAGATCCCAATAGCTAAGTACCTCCATACTGCATATTTCACTAGCTATATTGCTTTTTGTCTATTGTTCTGAAACTCTCTTGATTTGTGTTTCAATGTAACAGCCTCAGCGACACTGCTAAACGTTAGTGTATTTGATTGGAAAATATTTTTTTAAGTATTCTGGTAATCTCACATTAAAATTATATCCTTAAAACCACTGCTTTTGTAGGTCAACAATCAAATAAAATATTCATGGTGGTCTTAAATGATAAGAAGAAACAGGAGATTGCAAAGATTACTGATGGAAAGGACTGTCACGGTCCTGACAAAGGGCTGTTCTTTAACATTGTTCAGTGCTGATTTGTCTGACATTGTCGCAGGTAATGGGGCTTCTGCTTCCCAAAGGAGACATCTCTTCTAAAGTGGAATTCCTCCAATTATAAGATTTTTTTTTTTTTCTGACAATCAGGTTAATGGAAAATTTCTTATGTTTCAGTTCATTACTTCCAGCTATTGTGCCCTGTGTTCACGTACATCATTTATTTATCTCGTTGGTGTTTACTTCTCTCTGACATGTATTATTTATGCCTAACCTAAGTGTGCAAAATACTTTGCAGATGTTCAAGAAAGATCCTCACTCTGATTACATTACACATTAAAATAAGTTTTAAAAAGTATGCAAAGGTTAAAATAAAAGAATTCAGTATAAATAAAAACTAACGTATAAATCTAATAGGCAATTGTATTTAAAATGTGTTGTATTTCATCCATTTGCAGTGTCATGTTTAACATAAAGACACAGTACAATACCTCATGGTCTGCTTCCCTCCATTGCACATTCTCACTGTGTTTTGTTTTTTAAAGAAGTTTGAGAGATGCTTCTCCTTTTTGTTTTTCATTTTTGTCTACAGCTTACATAGAACAATGCAATTGTAAACAGAAGCAAAGATGACACAGATTGTTTCAACAGTCACATTGTCATTCCGTTAAATAAATGTACTGTTTCTCTAACATGGAATTGTCTTCTTAACTTTCATTTGGATAGAGTTAGGAACTTGGACTTCCTACCTGTGTCATTGTTAGTCAGGTTTTTCAGATCCAATGGCATTCTAGCAGTACTCTTCTGAGCATTTCCAACTTTTAAGCACTGCTTTGAAGGAATTGGATACAGTGGAATTGGATACAGTTATGTCACCACCCAATTTGTCTATCTCTTCAGGCCGCGCCAACCGCCTTGGAACATTGTTCTGGGAGCTTCTCTTATCTGGCTAACCGCTGTGACCCCTAAATCCTAGTTAGAGCCACTGCTTTCCAAGACACGGTCTCCAGACTTCTAAACGTGACCTACATTCTTTGTTCCTTCTGAATGACCTTTCATACAGCTGTCTCAAAAAGCATGTTCAAATAATCCTGGCTTACTAAAGGATGTCAAATTCCCTATAGAAAAAGTGTTTTTTCTTTGCATTATTTAGTGCTCTATGCATTTTAAGTCATCTGCAATTTTACTAGTCATGCTGTTAAATATTCCTTCAGATCACTCATAAATTTATGTAGTAGTAGAGGACAGCATTTTCCAATATATGGGGCTTGATTCCCCAAGGCAAGAGTGCCAAGGGTGTGTTTGGAAATCATTCTACTTCATGTCAGAGTGGCACCTGGCTCTCGGGATGCCGATGCAGGCTGAGAGCTGGTGCTGACGTGGTGATGCGTTCTGTCAGCAGCCAGCCTGTGCCAGCTCCCAGCAGGGACCCAAGCAGCTGGAACAGCACTGGACAGCTTTCAAAGGGTTCTGGGGTGGGCAGCATGATCCTTGAGACTCCAGAGATATTTTGGAAAAAAATCTCTTGAAAAAGATCAGAGCTCTACGAACTGCTGGTGATTTAACCAAGGAAGAAGTATTTGCTGTTTATAGTCACTTTTGGAGACCTATCATTCAGCTGGTTTTTAATTAATTATTATCTATTACACTGATTTTGTGTAACACTAATCACTTAATTAGACTGATGAGCTGCTGAATTTCTGTTGCTTCACAGAAGCATATGTCAATGCAGTTACCTCTATCAATCATATCAATCATAGGCTCACCCAGAAGGCTAACAAATTTTATATGCTCATTGGCACTAATTACACAATCATTATTTGTATTGATTACATCACATATCAGGACTTCAGTTATCTTACCTGCTACTGATTCCAGGATAGATAGAATTTTATTCTGAAGATTATTCTTAATGTAATGCTAGCACAACCTTAGCTCTGAGCGCATTTTTAATGCTTCCTCAATATTCTTTATTTTCTTAAACAGCAACATTAATTGCTCAGGCACTCCAGCAATAAATTATTTTTAGACTTGAAGTAAAAATGCATTAGAAGTTATTTACATGTCATAAAGCAGTTGCATATTATAAAGCATGCCACATTCATAACAAGAATGTGACTACGTTATGCAGAAATGTCCACTGCATACTTCTGTTTGTTCTGCACTGGTTTTGACAATTTCAACAAGTTCTAATAACAAATGTGTGACATTACTAGTATTTATTTCATTCACAATAGTGTGTTGTTTTTAAATTCCTTTCATTAGTATATCTGACTGTAAAATTCCTCATTGCTGACTTATTATGTTTGTTGCTGAATGAGTAAATAAAAGGTTTAGACTATATTTTCTGTCCTTCTGTATTTCCTCTTCAGTAAGGATATTTAGAACAAAAGATGATATCCTCTCTCACTACACAATTCAATTTTTTGTTTCTAGTAAAATCATTCACAGTTAAAGACCTTTTATCTTGTTTATTCTGCCAGTAACTAATTTTATCAAGAAATTCATCCTTTTAAAGCAGATTACAGATCAGGTCTAAACTTGGTTAGCATACAACAGATGGAATTACATGCTGGTAATTGTGTAAGACATTCGTAAAGTTATTTATACCTGGATGTCCATTGGAAAGGGATCCCACTCTAAAGTGAATCTGTCTTGGATGTGACACTATTTTCTTTTGTCTTAGAAAATTTTGGTGTTTTGGTTTTTGATACTACATGGATATTTAATTGTGTCAACAGAAGACCGCCAGTACGGTTCGTCACAATTTTGTCTCCTATCTTTTTTCTTTCAGACATTATTCAGATATTTCAGATGTTATAAAGTGCATGTTTAAAAGCTGCCTATTTGATTTTATTTGCTTGCCTGCATTGTTTAACAGCTTGAACCCAAAACCTTGTCATCTGGGATTGCCCAGTAGAATCTGACTGTTCAGATGGCAGACCAAGTCCTACCTGTGAAACAACTCCATACATCTCCACAACGTGCTGCATCATCATGTAGTATAGCAAGATCATTATCTAAGTAAAATACTACTATAATCGTTCTCCAATCTACATTGCCAAGAAGCTGAATTGGAATACTTCTGATGTGCAGGATTTGAATTTTTGCTGGGCTTTAGTTCAATCTAATTAAAGCAAATTGATATTCTTTGCTGACTGCTCACATTTGGCAGAAGCATTTTTAATAATTTAGAATATGTACATTCACAGTAACGGTCCCAGTCTCAGTAGTGTTCACGTGCTCTGAGAATACAGGAACTTTTTCATCATGAGTGAAACCTGGAATGTTTTATGAGTATAAATGCACAAACTGTACACAGGTCTTTTGGAATGACCTAAGAACAACATATGTGGAAGCCTCGCATTTGAAAAATAAATTAGACAGGTTAGGATTGGGAGACATTTTTTACAAACACCATTTTTATAAAACAAAATATTTTCTGGTTGGATGAGGTTTTGAATGCCATTCTCTCCCCTGTTTTTCACTCATAGATTAGGGGTGTTGCTTCAACTGAACTGCCATTTTTTTCCTCATGCAGCTATGGACCGATCCTGGTCACCTGCTTATATGGTCTGAAGAGGCGCCTTTGCAGCTGGTCCTTCCACTCAGCCACTGCATGGCTAAGCACAACACCCAGTAGAGGTGATTCCAGGATGTTTAATTAAAGATTCATATTTTAGATAAAATAAACAGCTAATAAACAGAGAAGGTAAGTAATCATAATTGACAGCCTTTTCCCCTTCCTCCAAAGAAACAACGTAAATGCCTAAAACTGTACTCAGGCTTTAGATGTCAAAGTACAACTTGAAATCTGCCCAACACACTTCACTTCTGGATAGTTTTGGATACCTGCAGTTCTACCACACCAAGTTAGGATTACACCAAAGTACATTAAAACCTTGATCTTGAAAGCTCTCCAGATGTCTTTTAAAACTTTTAAATGACACTGGTCTTGGATGATTCAAAATTGAATATCTTCAAGAGCTGCTGCTGAGCATAAATCTTTAGAAAAAGTGAGGCAAGAGCTCTGGGCTGCGGTAGACAAATGTCTTTTGTAATTTTAAAACTTTGGGGATTGTCAGCTCAATCATCTGATGAGAAATAGAGCCTTTCCTGTCTACACAGTAGCAATGATTTTGTGGAGAACTAATGGTGCCTAGAAGAGAACAAGGTGGATAGCAGTTTTGTGTCACTAAATAGATGTTTTTCTGTTTGTCCATATGGTTATACTTTCAAAGCGTAGGTGCAGTCAGATTAAATACATTCCTATATAGCTTCAAACATGAGTTTTTATAATAAAAACCTGTTACTGTTAATATCCAGAAAGAACTCAAATGTAAATCTTAAGATTACATTCAAACCATTGTTGATAGGGAGGAAAGTCGTATTAAGAAAGTTAATCCACACGCTCTTAGATGTAACAAAGCAAAACTTAATTTGCCATGAAAGTGGAATTCAGAGTCTTGTGTTTTGAAGAACTCATTAATTTTGGTTTAGTATAGGAAAGTTTAGTGTAACAAATCCCTTCAAAATTTATGAGCAGCTGTTTCACATGGTTTTATATAGACCTTATGGAGTTATATCTCCTTATATAAAGAAAGTAACCTAAGTATGAACAGTTGAAGTTTGTGAAGCTTTGGTAATGCTTATCCATGTGGATAAACTGCATTGTTTAAATTTAACAATGAATTGATGATATGGCACTAGATAGTGACATTAAAATGTTCCTTTTCATTCTTCCCTTTTGGTTGATAGAAGCCTAGAGGAGACTGCCTCCAAAGACTGTATTCATGTCTTGTTTCCTCTGTTTAATTTTTCCAGGGTTATTATATTTTGAATGATCTGAACATCAGAAAACCCAATTGTCAAATGGCACAAATGCCTGGGATTTTTTGTTCTCTGAAATGCCACTGTAGAAGGAATCAGAGGTTAAATAGATGCAGAGCTAGCATGGATTCAGAAGCTCTTGTCTAAGCCAGTTTCAACCATTTTTCAATCTTGTTAGTTGCACAGGTACCAGAGAAGAGCAAGGTCTTCTCTGTTCTTTCATCTGTCAAGTTTCTTTTCAAGTCTAGTCCTTGAATAGAATTTCTTTTTCAGAGTTCTTTCACACTGATGTCAGGATTTCCACAGTAAATTGAGGTTCCCCTGTAAGGCAAGGTGACAAACTTAAACACTCATTTCTCACTCCTTAACACTGCTGTAGTGATGTTAGCACCTTGTTTTTCCAAGTTATTTTGGAGTTTGAAGAGCGACTGATATGGTAACATAGAAATCTTCAGCAGATTTTTTTATTATTATTATTTTGGTCCAAGTCTGCCTTCATTTATACTCTTTGGAGCCTTGCATTTCTCCTATCCTTCAAACAGTCTCAGAATTGAACTTCTTCATTCATCATCCAAAATTTACCCAAAAGACTGGTTGAATTGGTGTGTCTTTGGGATTCTATATGCAGTAGATCTGTCAAGTGTCATGTACTGAAACAAATCCTGCCTCTCCTCTTCAGCTCTGCCTGTACCTCATGCATTCATGCAGCACAGCACATTGCTTTCCTCGTGTTCCTGAGATGCTGTCCTACCCCTGCAATTCCTCCCTTCCTCCTCTTCTCAAGCACATGCCATAAGGTGCCAGACACATCCCACACCATAGACCAGTCTGCAGTGCTCTCTCATGCACAGAAGAAAAAGATAATTAAGGAAAGTATGAAGATTTGAATGCTTCTTAAAAGCAAAGTATGGCTTACTTTGCAG